AAAAAAAATTCAGCTTTGACCAGGTGTGAACAATTAATTTTTGAGGAAACAGGTGCAATATAGCGGCAAATTCAATTTAGAAAATTCCCCAAAAATCCCCTCAAAATGACATTTCAATTCAACTTTTCTATAATATAAAACCGGCCTTTCTCTATATAATAGTGCAAACGTTAACTGTGTAGCTGCAAACGATGTTGAGTAATTAATCTTTGTGTAAACCGAAAGTGTTCAGTTTGAAAAATCGCCAAATCTCTTGAACGCGACTTTTGCATGCAAAATAATAATAATGGAAATAATCGCGAAAAACCACTACAGAAATTCGGCAACAATGTATTTCTGCTTCATCCTAATGTGAATTTACCACGCACAAACTTAAGTATAAGTATCAGTTTTATCTTTTTTACTGGAAAAACACTGCTTTGTTTCAGATCGTCCAGCTTCGAACTGACACGCCACTACTCACTTTATTCCTGGATTAAAGTAATCATCCTGTCGCTTGCCCTCACCAGTCTATTCCTGCACGTCATCTGCAGCAGTATCCAATGGGAGCAGCCCGAGAAACCCGCTCAAAATTGGCAGGAAAGTGAGCTGAGCGAAAAACCAGCAGAAGAACCACAAAGCCGAGAATTCGATGTAGATGGGATACAAATGAAGATGCAGCAAGCCAATGACGCCCAGGTCATTTTCAATGAAGAGTCTTTCGAAAGTCTGCATAACGAGTCGCTGGTTATAGTGGTGCAGGTGCATAACCGATTGGAGTATTTGGGGCGCCTCATAGAGAGTCTATCCAGAGCGAAGCACATTGAGGACACCTTGCTCGTCTTCTCCCACGATGTCTTCAACGAAGAAATCAACGAGTTAGTGCGACGCATTCCCTTCTGCAAGGTAATGCAAATCTTCTTCCCGTATTCCCTGCAGACTCACCGTGACCGTTTTCCCGGCACCGATCCGCGTGACTGCCCGCGTGACCTCAAAAAAAGCGCGTAAGTCTCAGTTTCCTCGGCCTCAACGGCTCTTTGACTCCTCTAAACCTTGGAGCAGAGCGCAGCAATTGGGGTGCCTAAACGCAAACCATCCAGACAAGTACGGACACTACAGAGAAGCGAAATATACGCAACTCAAGCACCACTGGTGGTGGAAGTTGAACCACCTTTTTCTGCATGTGAGGGCCACCAGCAGCTTTGCAGGCTTAGTGGTTCTACTGGAGGAGGACCACTATGTGATGGAGGATTTTGTCCATATGTTGAGACTGATGGACGGCCATTGCAGGAGCACTGCGCAATGCCACTTCTTGGGCTTAGGAACTGTGAAGCCTTTGGCCCAAGTTAAAGTCGACCAAACCTCCAATCAGGTGCGGAGGGATACCCGGTGATGTTTAGGGGAGGGAAAGGGTAGTTTTTTTGCAAACTCTTGTTGGGTATTTCGCCTCAAAAGGGTTTGTCTTTAAAAAGACAGAATTTCCTCACGTCTTTTTTTACAGATTGATAAATAGTGCTGCTATTTCGCAATAAGAACGAATTATTTATCAAAAAGTAATCAAGAACTATCAACTAGAGGGCATCCTGCGACGCACTTAGGCTCAAGCTCTAAGAGAAAATTCCAATTAGTAGAGAAATTAATTTGAAAAATTACCTTGACGTTTCGATAGCTATTTTCTGCTATCGTTATCAAAAGAACCCAAATGAACCTAAAAAAGAGTATGTTAATAAATTGTGTAACAATAGTAGGATAAGACAGTATATGAAAATTCCTTCTTTTCGTCTTTTTTTAGAGACAAAAATTTTTGGGTCAAAAAACCCAAAAAGAAGTTTGTAAAAAAATGAACCCGCCTCAACAACTATAGAACTTATCTAGAGTTTTTAGGTTGAAATGCACGCTGTTCCGACAAATCTCGGTCTGGCGCTCAACCGGACGACGTTCCTCGATAAAATCCTGCCGTGCGTGGAGGCCTTTTGCACTTACGACGACTACAATTGGGACTGGAGTTTATACCATGTGCTTAAAGTCTGCCACACACCTCCAGTTTTGACCATGGTTTCAAGCGCGCCCAGAGCTTTCCATATTGGAGCCTGGTGAGTAGTCAACGACTAAATAGCACTTTTAGGTGGCTTTTTTGGGGGGTTTTAACCACACGCGCAGTTTTGCAACCCAATTTTGTTCGATTACAGTGGAACCCATTCAAAGGACATCGACTGCAACGTTACAAACACTGTAGCGCTGTTGCGAAGTGTGGCTGAAAGTCTCGAAATGTTTCCCAGCTCGCTTAGGTTCGGCCGGCACAGATTGGAAAAGGTGAACCTGATAGAGTATGGCGGCTGGGGTGATAAAAGAGATCAAGACTTGTGCGTAAACATGGCCAAAGGCCGCACACATTTGTAGATTATACGTATTACTTCAACACTGTATTGGCCTTACTTACGCAGATCCTGATGCACAAACAACAAATTTGCCAAAAAACTTGCAAATTTTGAAAATTTATTTCGAAGAAACCACTTACTGGAATGGAACCAAATTCGCACCTCACGTCCACTAAAACCTCTTCTTTCCACTGATCGCGTTGACATTCGGGTGTCTTAAACACTTCTTGAGAAACGAGCCTCAGAAGAGCATGCTGCACAACCGAAAGATTGCCCAAAAACGTTCCAAATTTCGAAAATTCATGACGAAGCAACCACTTACTGGAACGGAACCAAATTCGCACCTCACGTCAACTAAAACCTCTTCTCTCGATTGATCGCATTGTCGTTCGGGTGTCTTAAACAATTCTTGAGAAACAAGCCTCAGAAGAGCATGATGTACAACCGAAAAATTGCCCAAAAAAGTTCCAAATTTCAAAAATTCATTACCGAGGAACAACTTACTAGATTGGAACTAAATTTGCACCACACGTCAACTAACACCTCTTCTCTCCATTAATCGCGTTGTTATTCGGGTGTCTTAAACACTTCTTGAGAAACGAGCCTCAGAACAGCATGCTGCACAATCGAAAAATTGCCCAAAAACGGTCCAAATTTCGAAAATTCATTACGCAGTAACCGCTTAGTAGAATGGAACCAAATTTGCACCTCACGTCATATAAAACCTCTTCTCTCCATCCATGGGGTTGTCATTCGGGTGTCTTAAACAATTCTTGAGAAACGAGCCTCAGAAAAGCACGATGTTCAACCGAAAAATTGCCCAAAAACGTTCCAAATTTCAAAAATTTATCACGAAGGAACCACTTACTACAATGGAACTAAATATGCACCACACGTCAACTAAAACCTCTTCTCTCCATTTATCGGGTTGTCATTCGGGGCAAAATATTACTTTTATTGGGACCACAAACGCCCTCTTGCGAGGTAAGGTTGTCTCGATTTGTTCCGCAGTTGCTTACCTTTGCTGCTGCTCTCCCTTCGGCTGTGACCCCTCGACTTCGCCTCCTCATTCCTCGATTTGGAGCGATCCCTTGAGCATTTCTCGACCGTGCTGGTGATGGTGGAGACTGCCGTTTTGTAGCGAATCTCTGGAAGACTCCGCAATATCCTAAGGGAAACGCCGAGAGTAACTAAAAAAGAAACATCCAAAGTCCTCCCCCTACCTGGCCTCGCTCTTCTCCATATTCTCCTCCTTGGGCTTCCGCAGCGGCTTCTTCAGCTCAAACCCGCTGGTCATGGTCAGCTGCGTGGCTTTCGTCTTCTTGATAAGCCGCGGCTTGCGCACTGGCGCCTCCACATTGGCCGGCAAATCTTCGGAGGAACTGCCATGCGATTGAAGCAGCGCCTCCCTGCTGGAGGCTCTCTGGAGGCGCCGCGCCTTTGTTGAAGCCTTGCTGGAAGCCCCGTCGCTGGCCGGCTTTCTCCTCGGCTTTTCCGCCGCTGCTTTGGTAGCTGTCGGAGAAACAGTTGAGGTAAAAGCTGCTGGTCAGCGAGGGCGTGTTTGCTACCAGCTGCCGGCCTGATGGCGGGTTTCCTCCTGTCCCTGGACAAACTGTCCAGTGAGGACGTTGAGGAGGTGCGCTTCACTTTGACCTTGGCAGCGCTGGCTAAAGTCGGCCGCATTCGCAGCTGGTTCTTCGTCTCGATGTCCCGGCTGGAGTTCTTCCAGGACTTGCTCTCAGAAATCGTGTCCAGCAGTTTCTTCGGTTCGTCTTCGTCCGAGCTCAGTCTGGCCTGGCAGTCTTCCGAAGTGTAGCCATTGCAAACCTGCGAAAACTCTCCCAT